GGCTCCACAAACTTGGTGTGAACAAAGTTTATTAAAAGATACATATTTATCAAACCAATGATAACCAATTTATAATTAATAATATTTTCCTAGGTGCATTAAAAATGCGTATTTTCTCTGCATGAATCGTCTTAGGAAGGCATGGCAGTTTTTTGGCTTTGAAGACGTCGCAAGCCATTCCAGTGGAACACACTAGGTTAACGTTTTTGCCGTTACTTTCAAATAAATTAATCATCTCTGTTATAAGAAAAGATTTACCAGTGCCCGCTTTGCCTTGTATAAGAAAATTATGCCCTGCTAGTGCTTGGTCTAAGCAATACTTTTGCTCTAGCGTCAACCTAAACGGCAGAGAAAATACACATTTTTAATAAACTTTGTTCACACCAAGTTTGTGGAGCCGTGTACTACGTAAGTTTACTACAAGAAAAAAATAAAAGAATACTTACTTCATTGCACTTTAGGTGAATGAAAAATAGTTTAAAATGTTTTTTTCTGTCCTTTTTCATCCTGATACAATATATCTTATTTCTATTTTTTTCTAAGAGAGTGGCTAAAGAGAGTGGTTAAAAAGTAGTTCACAAAACACAGGAAAGCCGCTCCTCTAAAATGCATCACGACTAATGACACAGGAAGACCGTAACTGTAAAAATTTGGCAGTCTACAAGGGGAAAAAGAAAGCCAACATTCTTCAAAATAACGCTATAAACCCCTTGCAAAAATGGCGGCCGGGTATACGCTATACCCCCAGACATACAAACGTCTGTAAATTTGTCAATTTTCAATTTGAGTTTTCTCGGCCGACATAACAGCTGACATAATGAATCTTCGTAGGGTTACTAAAATAAAGGTGCTCTTTACAGTGCTTGTATAGGTTTTTCTCTCAGTTTAATTTTAACCCATGCAGACGAATTCGTGGCCGCCATTTTAACAGGGGGTCTATTGTAATGGATTACTTGATTAAAATGTATCCAAAAGTAACGATGAGTTTTTCTCCATTGCTGCAAGTTGCTGTACAGCGATTCCCACAACTCAATCCATGCCAACTAAAGCCAAAACCAATCGCACTATCTGGGGTGTTACAATCGTTTTGGTCGTTTGAAAAGAAACCTAACCGTGCTATGCCCAGAAAATTAAAGCTTCCAACATTGCAGTTATATTGTAAAGACGATCCACCAATCAGAGACATCCATTGATTTCGACCAATACTAAAAAGGGTAAATTTGTCTTCAGCAATGACGTCATACAAGGAAGAAGCCGAATAAGGAATGAGAGCCCAGTTCAAATTGTTCCCGACTTTCATACCAACACACAAGCTCTGGAAAGGCATAGCCCAGTAGCTGGGCATCTTGGTCTCGTGATTGTCAAAACCGGTTTTACCNACTTTCATACCAACACACAAGCTCTGGAAAGGCATAGCCCAGTAGCTGGGCATCTTGGTCTCGTGATTGTCAAAACCGGTTTTACCTGCTGATAGATTATACGCTGTCTTGTCAGACCACAAGGGTGACGAGAAAGCGAATGTGTTCTGGGGAAAGACAGACAGTAAAAATAATCTTCAGTTATTTTTTCCCTCCCAATTTAAAAAATAATATGATAAATCTATAGAATACCTTTGAGCCGTCAGTCTTCATGGCCAGAGTCCACCCCCTACTTCCACACAGATCGCTTGACAAATGACAATAGATATCTGTTTGTTTGTTGTCGATCATGTACGTGTAGGCCATGTCCGCACGATAGCTATCAGCAAAAAGTAAAGACATTACTATTCAATGAAACCAAGAGAATATGAACTAAGAGAAGGAATCCCCGTGCCCCATCATGTGCACACTTTGATGCTATTTTTAGAATCTATTCTAAAAATATCATCCAATGATATCATTTATTTGATCGTTTGATTTTCTGCACGCGCATAGTACGCGCGCGCTCTACGCTGTTTGCTAACGTTTTCTTGTGCTTTTCTTATGTTCAAATGTTCAAATCTGCCCTCAAGTTGACGATGTAGGTCGAAAGCTTTGAAAAATAATGTAAAAATACTCCAGAAAGTTGAACAAATTACTACTTCAATTTCCTGTCCTATTTGCCAAGCTTTCGACGTGCACATTCATATTCAGGGCAGAGTCGAAACAACGGAAAAACCCCCAAAACGCGTAAGCAAACAGAGTAGAGCGCGCGCAGTAAATGCGCGTGCAGAAAAACAAATAGTTTAAAAATAGCATCAAACTGTGCAGATAATGGTTGCAACGCTATATAGGGGGAATTCCTTCTCTTAGTTCATTTTCTGTTGATGAAACATTTTTCCGCATGCGCATTACCTCTATAACGTCCCCGCGGCCGCAAAAAGGCGGTGAACCCCAATATTGTCTTTAAAGAAACGTGCATCGCATGCTCAATTGCTCTATTTCACTATGACGTCACATCAAAACAATCTATTTTATAAACGCAAAGGATCATGGTCGCCGGAGGGGGGGTCAAATCAACGCAAATTCACCGAAAATTGTTCTAAAACCCGTATCAATCCACGAAGAGAAGTAGAATAGCAAGCAAACGCTCAGAATATTTTTTAGTACATGTTGACACATATTATATCTAAAAACCAGGCCATTTTAGATTAAACTGTTTCGCTAGGAGCAAATGTTGTTGAATTTTCTATTGGATTTGGCGATTCTATCCCCCACATAAACAAGCAGTGACGTCATAGTGAAATAGGGCAATTCAGTGGTAAAGAGCTTGAGTGTGTGCTCTTACTTTTAACGTGGTCAAGGTGAAAAGTTCGCATACGTCTTTTTAATGGTTATTAATAAAATCTTATTTTAAAAAAAGCGTACGATGACGAAATTCGTTTCGGTTGATTTTTTTATTTAAGTTGCCAACCACCGGAAAAAATCTATTGGAAAATTTTAATCATAACCAAAGTAACAAAACCTATTGTTATAATAGTTGACAGAGCAACACCACAATGGCAATGGTTATACATATTATCATACCTCCATCTATATTTAGATGACGATGCTCCCATGTTGGAGGACAGAGTAAGAGACTATTCTTTCATTGCACCTGTCCTCCAATATGGCTACTATGAGGAAAATATTACAAGGAGAACATTCCTGCCAGCACTTTACCTTGTTTTTCTAGAAATATCCCCACAAGATGACACTTCAACTAACGAGAAAAGAAAAGAAAAAAATGTATGTTATCAGGAGTACCGTATCCTTGATAGACCTTCTCATTTTCATAGAATAACAATTCTTTTACCCTGAAGTAAAACCATTCATTATTTTCTAAGGTAAGCATTTAGAAATTTGGTTACCATGGCAACATAATTAAATTTGGTTACCATGGCAACATGGCCAACGTATACAAAACAAAAGGCCTTGTGTCGTAAAACATGAATAAGAGAACTTTGTGAATTGCGTGGGAAGCAGAAGACGAATTTAAATTTCATGGCAACAAACAAATACCTTGACTCTTGTTGCTAGGGTAACCGAAAGAATAAACATATAAACGAGATTCATTATATTTTTAGACATACCGTTCCATAACTGGCAGTATTGACCTGTGTTAAATGCTCCACATTTACATCGAAAGCCTGGTTCGTCACAAGCTGGTTCACAAGTCGCTCCATTCTTACACGGTACCTTTCTGCATGAGTCATCGGGAAGGACAAATGTAGCTGTCAACCCCTACAGGATTAAAAAACGATTTTTGCTTGTAAGCCTTTATACAATATTTTCGGTCGATACCCTCATGAACCAAACTAAAACATAAATATTATCGAGCCCTAGAACAACCTCTGGGCTGATCAAAGTCAGGACATGTAACTCACAGATTGAACCATAAAAAAACCTCTGGGCTGATCTAAGTCAGGGTACGGCTAGCTCACAGATTGACAATAAAAAAACCTCTGGGCTGATCTAAGTCAGGGCATGGCTTACTAACAGATTGAGTCCTGAAAAAACCTATGAGCTAGTCTTGAGTCAGATCTTATCAGACGCTTTTTAAAAAGCGTTTTCGCGTGACGTCACAGCGGCCATGTTGGTGTTCCAAAATAATTGAACTCTATTTTTATGCAAAAACTGTGCAGAAAGTTGTTATTGTTTGGTACACCAATATGGCTGCCTTCTCATGTGAGTTAAAACGCTCCATTATCAGATTTAAATTCAAAGCTATATATCGGCGCATTTTTAAAATTTGCATTCACTTACCCAAACAGGAAAATAATGAATAAACCCTGACCTCGGTACTTGACACAAAGACCTGGAACCAAAGGTCTGTTGACTAAGCTCGCAAAGGTGCTTGGGATGTCCAGAGGTACCGAAGTTGACTGATTGACAGCTGGGTTCCCTGAGGCATGCTGATACACATGCAAAGGCGTCGAATACTTGCAGAGTCTTGAATATCAAACTTATTGCGTAATCTAGGACGTCGAAAAACATCGTATGTGAGACTGGACGACTTCGCGCGCAAGAGCCTAAATTGTTGTTTGTTGTTTAAGGTGACTGCCTACTTTCGAACGATCGATTTGAGCCCTGCACGATGTGCGCGCGCTCAAAAACCGCGGGAAAATCTACAAGATTTTATTGAGGAACCATACACATTTTGAGTTTCAACAGGGCAAAACCCTCAAATTTTGCACGGGACTCTATTTTTCAATAGCTTATTCGGAAAAAAACTCCTAAGAATCTAGGTTATATCAACTTTTTAGAAAAAGTTAATTTTCCTAATACATGAAAAAATAGATTTTTGTAGGGATTTTTGTTCGACTTTATGAGATTTTTTAAGAGCATCGAAACGACAAAATATGACAAATCAATGTCATTTAGGGGAGTGAGCGTTGCGTGACGCGCATGACTAATGGCAGCTGCGTAGGGGATTAAAAGAAAAGATATCATCGCACATAGCTATCGTCTAACGTGTACTTTTTCAATTCTAGTCAAAGTAATTTACAAAATGTCGACAATACAAATTACTTAATACAGTCCTAAAATCCACTGTACTAAGATCTTGGTCAACATTAATATATTTTTCCTTATCTTCTTCGTTTTTCTTACTTAAAGTTATTTTTATCAGTTTTACTCTGTTAAATTTGATGTCAATGGTATATGATATCTTTCAGTGCTCCACCCTCAAGAGTTTTCACCCTCAAAAATTTTCACAAAAGAATTTTTCAAAAAACGTTTTCGAAAGCATTTCCAAAAAGAAGACACACAAAGTGTCATCAAACAAGATACTTTATGCGTAACCTGTTTTGATTTTGTTCCAAAATTTGGCTTCAAATTGTAATTGATTTCGGCTGGAGTCGCTGCAGAAAAAAGTGCGCGCACATCCAGAGAAAAGTCTATTGTATTCCGAGCAACAGAGAACCAAAGGCTTAGATAAAAGAAAATACATTGCATGTGTTATTTCAGATATCACCACGACGCCAGACTGAAAGAAACAGGTTTTTTTTTTTTTTTTTTTTTAAAAAAAATACCTGATTCGAATATTAATTTTCAAGTACTCGAAATATTCAAGGAATAAGATATTTGTAGCTGACAGCTGCATTGCTTTTCGATCGCAGAGGCTAAGCGTGTGAAAATTCCTTTCGTTTTTCAATGGACGCGGCTACTGTTATAGTTTCTTTGCACAAATAACTGATCTATCTGTCAGCAAGACAACTGTCAACTCACGGACTTTTTCCCCCTGAAATTTTGAAAGCATTCCAGATGCAAAAGTCAAGCGTAAAGGGATGAAGATTATCAACATGATATCACGGAAGTCTTAACGGAAAAGCATGTTTTATGAAAAAACTAAAACTAAGACTTGTGCTTTAATTTTCATTTTACTTTTTCTCCCCCGCCACATACACGAGGTCACTTATTATATCGCGTAACAAATTGGCCATTCGGGCAGAAAAATTTTGGACTGCCAGTTCACTACGCGCGCACTCCCCTCGTATTCCATAAAAGACGGAATATAAAACGACAAAAATAAATCAAATTAAGCCTTGGATGCTGGAAAATAAGGCTCTAGAATCGGTTTGTTCAAACTTCAAAAAGCCTTTTAGAGGCCCAAAAGAAGAACTTGTGGTACGCCAGTTCACTACCCGCGCACTCCCCTCGTACTCTATAACAGACGTAATATGAAACGACAAAATAAATCAAATCAAACCTTGGATGCTGGAAAATAATCCCGTTTTCTCTTCAAGTATTGGATCGGGATTTATCAGTAGATCCTCGCTTGTGAAGCCAGCAGAAAATCCAGAATTCAGCATAAAAAGAAAGAGGTAATTACGAAGTAATCTCATTTCGTCCACTCTCTCTCTCTCTCTCTCTCTCTCTCTGATTTTATGGTCCAACGAGAATTAAAACCAGCCTGAGATTCTAAATTCTAAATTACCTAAATTATTTCAGTCATCTGTCTTTTGACTCCAAAATTTACCTCTTAAAGTTTGAAATTTTAAACTCTGGAACTCAAAATGAAAGGCGGAAATTTATACTTCGCGACTGGATAAGTTGACAACAATGTTTACTTTTCCCTCTCAATAATCTTAGCAATAGTTGGCCTTTTTATGCACATATAAAAAAAAACAGACCTTTCTGATTGCAATATTAATTGTATTGACTCAAGCATCGCATATTACAATGATGTTGACTGATCGTAACAACATGACATGTATATTCCAGATCATTGAAAATAGTATTTTTACAAGCATGAATTTTTTTTTCTTTTGTCTTTTTCTTTTCTTTTTTTTCTTTTTGAATTTGAGTTTTGATATTTTTATTACATTAAGGTTGACTGTTGATCGGTAACAACATGACATACAGTCAATTCAAAAAACGTCGTCGACCTGCTCAAGCCGACGCGACTGGACCGAAAGGAATATGGGTAAAAATCACTGAAGCGATTAAATATTCGTTCTGAATAAATTGTTCCCGCTAGTAATAAGATAATAATGGCTAGAAACAATCCATCAAATGCATGTCTTCGGGTTTAGGGAAAGAAAAACAAAGTAGTTATGATTCAGTTCACAATTCCGAAAATATGAAGGCATTTAAAAAAAACGTCTCCCTCAACACTTCCCGCTCGCCTACAAAGGTTCGTGCTGTAAACCAGGCATAACTAGTCAGATAAAATTATGGAGTCAACTCGGCTTCAATTATTGCTACCCAGAGTTCCTTTCGGTCCAGTCGCGTAGGCTTGAGTTGGTCGACGACAACATTTTTCGAAATGACTGTATGCATTTCAGATCACTGCATCTGGTATTATTACAAGCCAGAAAGGGAGATAGCTAAGATAATAAGTAATGCTAAGATAGTTATAGAACATTTTAAAATTAGGCACGACAATCATGTAAAATCATTGTGTGAATAAGCTTTAACAACTAATAAGCAATTCGACACAAGTTTATAAACATCCAACTCGTGTTATTACTCATTAATTACTCATTGCCGCATATATCAATATCAATATTATATATTTATATTAATCAACACAAGCATATCATATATCATACGCATATGGGCCGTCGCACGGCGCTAAAAGTAATTGGCGAAAGCTGTTGTGGGTTCCTCCACTGAGCTCACGGGAAAAGCTTAAAATATAATGAAAATTTAAATACCTTTTTTGAACTTTGATTTTACAAATAGAATAGTAAAAAGCAAAAAAAGTGGTCGTGGGTAAAATCGCGGGATCACCTGCTTCTTATGAAAAATGCTCATGGTTTAAACAAATATCAAAATTAGCTATTTTAACGTATAAACCGATGTATGTTTGTTTTTATCGGTATATAGAATGTTTCTAGTGTTTGCAACGCGCATGCGCATACATTTCGTACATTATACGATTATTATAATACAGGGAGCCCATTAACATGATAATGAAGCGATTTTTGAATAGGTAAGATCGCACGTAATAGGRATGATTTACTTGATTAAGATGTATCCAAACGCCGCTACGTTTTTCTCTCCGTTACTACATCCTAATCCGCTGCAGCGATTTCCACACGTCAAAGTACTGAAACCAATACCAAAACCAATGCTACTATCTGGGGTGTCACAATCATTTTGGTCATTTGCAACCACGCCTATGCGCGCAGACACCCAATCCAAACCCTCTTTTCCAACATTGAAACCTTCTGCATTACAGTTTTGCTGTAACGAGGAACCATCAATCAGGGACATCCATTTGTTTCGACCGATGGTGAAAGTGTGATTTCCAACAATGGCGTCATACAAGGAAGAAGCTGGATAAGGAATGAGAGCCCAGTTCAAGTTGTTCCCGACTTTCATACCGACACACAAGCTCTGGAAAGGCATAACCCAGTAGCTGGGCATCTTGGTCTCGTGATTGTCAAAACCGGTTTTACCTGCTGATAGATTATACGCTGTCTTGTCAGACCACAAGGCTGACGAGAAAATAAATGTGTTCTGGGGAAAGACGGGGAATATTATCAGTTGAGATAAAAAGTGAATGGTAAACGATACATTTGTATATTATACCTTTGAGCCGTCAGTCTTCATAGCTAGCGTCCACCCCCTACTTCCACACAGATCGCTTGACAAATGACAATATATATCTGTTTGTTTGTTGTCGATCATGTACGAGTAGGCCATGTCCGTACGATAGCTGGAAGGAAAGTAGTTGATGTAAATACTCAATATTTTGTTAGTTATTTTGATCTCATCTTGTTTTGACCTATCGTAGATAAAAATCGCTTGTGTGCAGGAGTTTCCTTTACCTCCCCCCTGTGGGGTCATGACGTCTGCAAGAAAGCTAAATCCGGTACAAGAACAAATAAATAAGATTCGTGGAAAGACGGGTGTACTGTACCTTGTTTTGCTTAGGATATCTTTACAAGAAGACACATCAACTGGGAATGAAGAGAAAGTTACAAAGTCACCAAAACCAGAGTCTCTATAAACTCTGCCAAAACCAACAAAATGAATTTCCACCGAATAAAAGCGAACGAAACTCAGGCTCCCTTAAATGTAACAAACCTATTTTATTCCAACGACCGAAATAAATTTATTTTTAACAAAAGAAATAAATTCGCAAAACACACCTGTGCTCTCGTGAAAACGTAAACATAGCCGCGTTGAGCCCGTGTTCTTTGAACATTAAAGGCCGATTTTACAGGTTACGATTTTTCCGCAGCTGTCGAGCGCTACTGCTGACCACACAAATTGCTTCGTGTAAATCTACCGTACAACTTGCTTAAAACTGTAAATAATATGTTGCTAGGACGGAACGTATTTACCTTCGAAGCCAAATCGTGGTGTAATTATGTTGACAGTTGCGAGGGAAAAAAAATATCATACCGTGTAATTCGGCATCGAATAACACGTGCGTCGACAAAAGGCTCAGAATACTATTAAGAGTTTGAAAAGATATTTACCGGTCCATAACTGGCAGTATTGACCTGTGTTGAATGCTCCACATTTACATCGAAACCCTGGTTCGTCACAAGCTGGTTCACAAGTCGCTCCATTTTTACACGGTACATTTCTGCATGAGTCACCATATTTAACCTGCCAAAACCATTGAAAAATTTTATCAATACTCTGGAACAATCTTTTCGCTAATCAAAGATGTGGTATGCCTAACTCATAGACCAAACCCTGAAACAACTTCTGGGCTGATCAGAATGAGCCTTCTCCTTTTGCTCCTCGGGCTTCCTGTGGCGAGGGCAAAAAAGACGAAGCGTTCCTATTTCTTTTCAGCCATATAATTTAACACAGGGACACACAGGGATCCCAACAAATAATAACATATGGGGTAGCCTTCGAATGAGGCTAGGTCAGAGTCAGGACATGGCTAACTCGAGTTTAACTTGTAATTTAGCTCGTAAGGTTTATAGAAAACCCCCTCCAATCAAGTGGGAGATCTTTTGTGATGCCGAGTCCAGGAATTGAACCCGAGGCCCCATAAGTGAGAGGCGAGTGCACTACAGTTACGCCAATCTTGATAACCGCACACTGATTTTTCCCGCAATGGAAGTCACGTGAGAGATAAAGTACTGGTTCAGAAGGTATAAGGACTTCATAAAGTTCAAATCAGAAAAAACTGCTCGACCATAAATTGTCTATCTTATAGTTCAAAACGCTTTGAGTGAACTAACTCGTCAATAATTTCTTTTCTTACCTCTAGAAAATAATGAATAAATCCTGGTCTGTGCTCTTTATAGACAGGACTGCATTTTAGAGATTTTTGACTGAGCTCGCAAAGGTGCTTGGGATGTCCTGAGGTACCAAAGTTGACTGATTGACAGCTGGGTTCCCTGAGACATGCTGACACACAAGCAAAGGCGTCGAATACTTGCAGAGTCTTGAATACCAAACTTATTGCATAATCTTGAAAATAGAAATAAGAAAGATAAATGTCAAACCGTTAGCACTAACCATAAATATTTTAAGCCCGCTAACATTATAGTTTTATTATGAATTTATGCTTTTGTAATATGAATTCGATAAATTAAAACAGAACATCGTTTTAACATTATTCCTTTTTTGATCGACAAAATAATGACAATCTCAGTATTTACCAAGAATCTGAAGTTGCGTGGAAATCGATCAATTTTTGAGCGAACAAAAGAGGACAATTGGACAATATTGTGGAATATCGTTAGAAAATTGGCGCATATAAAATTCCCAACAACGCTGAATGTTTCAGCTACTACGTGCACTAAATTCTGAAATATCCGAGTGTTTTCAACGCGATACGAGCGAGGTTTTAAAAAAACACAAGATGTACTCGCAATTATGTTGGAACGGTTTTCATCCTTGAACCTGTGCGCGGCTCTAGGGTCGATAACGTAGGAAAAGGGGAATTTTCAATCAAACATCTTTATATTCAACCTTTTTAAAAATAAAAAACCCGTTTTTGCATATCGCTTTGGTTTATGTCCCAAAAAACGATGGAAAAAATATAAAAATTCCGTAAGAAGGAACTATTCAAAGCACATTTTATATTAAATCTTATAGTGATTTACAATTTTCTTACAAATTCAGTACCATCCATAAAATATTTTCTTTTTTCATCCAATAGAAGATTTAGTACCAAGCTTAAATATTCAATATTCCAGTTTTCAAAAACATTCGCCAAAAACATTTGTTTACTGATGGAATCATGATTTTTAAATGAACAACTTTGATAGCATAAGAAGGGTTCTGGAGTTGTCAAAGCAACGTTTTACGTCATTTTTTCATGTTTATTGCCGATGGCTTTTGAAATTCTGGGTCATTCGTCGTTATATTATGGGGATTAAATTTTTTAAGGTCAACATTGCGAACGCCGTATGTGAAGACAGAAAACACTTTCCAGCTTCCTTATAGAGTCAAAAATACGGATAACATAAGAACATTAATTTCCTGAAAGGCCAAAGTCTAATCGCAATTCACACCAGTAAACGTACCAAAAGAAATAAAGCAAACAAACATTTACGCAACAACAACAGTAAAAGCTTTCAAACCTTTGATGGTGGAAAATATTCCAGATCTATCTTTGGGTCCTCGGTAGGGATGTAAAGGAGAATGGGACTGGCCATAAGTACCGTCCAAGCATACAATGAAGACGAAGTAAGAAGAAAAGACGAACCGCCACATCTTCTCTTTCTGATTATGTTGTGGTTCTCACTTCTCTGATTTTTTAAGAACGCTCTTTTAACAAAGCATTAAAAATGTTCACTTTTCCAAGTGCTTTCGAAAAGAAATCCTCCAACTATGAACGGTTTTTTTAAAAAATTCAGTTTCTAGTCCTACTGAAAACCTATTGCGCAAAAACCTCTGCGAATGCTAAGGTTCACAGCTGAAGTCGTCAATTGAATAGGAAATGACTAAAATCTTACTGCAGGGTTTCATAGTGATTCAGTAATAGCGCTTAGAGTTGGCTTTTACGGATGCTCGTAAACAAAGCAACTGGATCTATATATTAAATATCGTGAAATTTTTGCCTAAATTATTACAATATTGGCTCACATTTTAGAAATTAAGGCATATTAACAATATGCAAAAGATTGCCGTGTCGCAAAGATAAAACGGACTGAAACTTAGAAATTTATTTAAGATTAGTATTATAAAACTCATTAATAATTTCTGAGGAAAAAAAAGTAATTATGACCACACATGGAGTTTAATATATCAAAAAAATTGCCCTGATTTGCATGGACTTTGAACTTTTATTTTGTCTCCCAGATTCTCAAAATATACGTGGCCGGGACGGAAACATCGTCGAGCCTCTGGGACCAGGGTACTTTTATCTCGAAAATGTAACTCAAAGATAAAACAACTAACAAACTAACCTAGACATTTTATAAGTCGTACACAATATTGGTGTATATTGTTGTATATAAAAACTTTCGCAGACCTACCCTTGCATATCTTATATACAACATGTTCACTCATATCGTATATATTACATAGCGACTATTTATATAATTCAACATGTTGGTCTTTTGTTATATTAATCCAACAGTGGTGGTCAGTGGTGTCTTCCGTTATATCATCAGAATTGGCAAACTCTTTTTTTTTTCATCCAACATGGCCGTCGTGCCTTTTTTTACATCATCCAACATGTTACGTTGGTGATGTCTTTTCATGTCATCCAACATGGCCGTAGTGTTTGTTATATCATCTAACATGGTAGTCATGTCTTTTGCTTTATCATCCAAAATGGCCGCCATGTCTTTTGTTATAATATTCAACATGGCCGCCATGGACACCAGGAAAAAACGTTTGCGCATGCGTGCACTTCATTTTGAAGAGTTTGAAGAGTTTGAGTGAGAAAATAAATGTTTGTTTTCTCCAAGAATACTAAAAAGTTCGAGAGTATACTTTTGTCAGACCAAGATACTGTACTAAGAAACACAATATGAAATAATTAGTCTTAAGTTTCAAGCATGGACACTAAGTTTTGGCATTTTGTGAACTCCAATTTATAAGGCATGTTTGAAAGTCAAATTTACTTATGTTTTGACTAATTTGCATACGGATCCAGAGCATGCGCAGACATTTTTCACTCATGTTGCCGCCATGTTTTTCGTTATATTATCCAACATGGATGCCAAATCTTTTGTTATATCATTCAACATGGTTGTCATTTCTTTTGCTTTATCACCCAACATGGCCAATTTGTCTTTTTTATATTATCTAATAAGGCGATCATGTCTTTTGTTAGGATAAAACAGCCGAGGTTTCGACATCATAGAGTCAATGATTGTTTATTACAGGCCCTTTGCAGCTAACGGTCACGTGTCTGTACTTGAGAGCAAGATTTTTTTTTTTAATTGGTGATTCTTTTTAGCTACTTGTCAAGAACTGGATGAATCGATGTCCAACCAGTGTGTTACGAAATGCAGTCTTATCACGATCTCTCGAAACAGGGCGTAGAAAATGTGTTTGCTCTCCAGTAAATTTCACCCATGGGAATCAAAATGTTCATTCGTTTGCTCTCAGTGAATTAATCACCATGTGATTACTGAGCTGCAAAGGGCCTATTGTGCTGCTTATTTATTACATACAAAATAATTATTTACAGTTATTATTCGTAGCCAACACAGGAAGCCCGCATGTCTTTTAGCTGATTGTCCAGCTAACCTGCGAAAAACAGCTAGCCAATCAAAATCGAAAAACAATGCCGAAATGGAGTGTCACTTTGAAATTTTGGTTTTGAAATGAAAAACGAATAACTTTGCTAACAAGCACTTAATAAGTATGACAAACTTAATATATTGATTATACATTCATATACTTTTATTGTAATCGCACGCATGTAATTAATTTTCGATAATCAAGTTTTCCGCAAGCTTCTTTTAAAACACCTCACTTTTGTAGTGACTTCATTTCTACGTCACTATTTCAAATCGGTTGGTTGATTAAAATATACCCAAAGGTCACTAAGTCTTTTGAACCACTACTGCAGCCGGACGATTTACAGCGATTCCCACATGTTAAACCGCTCCACGGAAGTCCAAAACCGATCGTACTATCCGGTGAATTGCAGTCGTTTTCATTGTTCGATCTAATGCCAATCCTTACTGCAAGTATGTTATTAAAACCTTCATTATTACAATATTGCTGTAAGGAGGATCCACCAATCAGAGACAGCCATTTCTCTCGACCAATAGTAAAATTGCTGTAGGTGTTGTTAGCAATGACGTCATACAAGGAAGAAGCCGAATAAGGAATGAGAGCCCAGTTCAAGTTGTTCCCGACTTTCATACCAACACACAAGCTCTGGAAAGGCATAGCCCAGTAGCTGGGCATCTTGGTCTCGTGATTGTCAAAACCGGTTTTACCTGCTGATAGTCCATACGCGTTCTTGTTGGACCACAAGGCTGACGAGAAAATGAATGTGTTCTGGGAAAAGAGGGGGCAGAGATATAGTGGTTATTTACTTGCCAGAAGTTTGGGGTAGAGAAAAACCGCGTTAGGCTGAAGTCCGTTTTCATTCAGGCCGACTCTAGGACTGTAAATAACTTAGTAACTTTCTTCCATTTACTTTTCATCTAGTTTCGTGAATTTTCTATTTATCATTCCGTCATCCCTGGATACCGGACCGCGATGAGAGGTAAAAAAATACCGCTGCTAGCACAGCCACTATCAAAACGCAAGATTTTTAGGATACCGGAATGGGGGAAAAACATGTTCATGGGTTTTTTCTCTTAAATCGTTCGCATATTAAAAAATCATTGAAAGTGTATAATATCAAAGATATTACTTTAGTATTGTTTTGTATGACGGTTGTGGCGGAGAATCCTTTTCATTTTTAGTATATAATGGTATATAATATATATTGGTATATTATACCTTCGAGCCGTCAGTCTTCATGACCAGCGTCCATCCCCTGCTTCCACACAGATCGCTTGACAAATGACAATAGATATCTGTTTGTTTGTTGTCGATCATGTACGTGTAGGCCATGTCCGCACGATAGCTGGAAGGAAAGTTGTTGATGTAAATACTAATAGTTCTGCTCAATTTGGAGGACATAACAATAGGTTTAGAATTCTCAGGAAATTTAAATTCTTTTGTTTTTTCCTCTTTTTATTCTTTCCTTTTGGGTCAACCAATCTCATACGCAGAGCACACGTTCCTCTTGGTCAGTACCGGGAAACTAGAGGTTTCTCGGGTGCTGGTAGATCGTCGTCTTTTTTCAATAACTAAATACCTCTGAGATCCCTGACTGTTTTAGGACCAAAAACAACAATATTATTTCCTGTAGTCATATTAAAGATGGAAAAAGAACTAATCTACTAGAATGCAAGTGCTTTTGACAACCAGTGGTAAGTTTGTGCTTTCTGTAAAAAGCAGTATCCATCGCCTCGGATCATAGGCACATCAAATTGAAGAATATTTTCTTTCAATATATGCTTAAATTGACATTTTCGTAGATAATTTTGCTTAAGGTTGAATGAAAGTCGAAAAGGAATACATATGAAGCCAATTATCCGACATTTATTTTGCTCTGCCTTCAAGTATAACTACACAAAATGAGCTTATATCCAGTTCATTATCATTCAGAGAAGTGATATGATTCCTAATGTCGATAAACTCGATAAAAATATTCAAGACCATTTATAAAAAAACAATTATTGACAACAAAAAGGAATATCTAACATTTATAAATCCGTCTCTTGTCATTTTCGTGAAGTTGAGGTGATCGTATAAGCTTATATTTATCTCAAAAATTTTGCTGCTTGCGTTCTGAACGACTCGAAAACGTGCCAACTGAAAATAGTCAAGAAAGCAGTTCACTTTAAATCTCTAAAAAAATTCATTTTTACATACCATTTGCTAAATGAAATCCTTTCTTCAACACAGGAAATACTTATTAATTATTGTTCTTTGAATTGAATAAGTTTTCTGATGTTTTGGAAGCTTAAAATGTAGATTTTTCTTTAATTTTTTTCACTTGCCTGTAAACCACGAGGAGAGGGACGAATGCAAACGCGCAATAAATGACTAGGTCACGCTGTTTCGGAACTCCGAGTCACGTTCGTCACGCTTTTAACACACAATTTATCCTCATTGGTACACGCAATCTTTTTTCCAGATTCTAGAGGCTTTTTGAAAGGACTGACAGCATTTGGAGGAGGTAAAAACACACAAATCATCTTATGCTGAGTTCATTACCTTGTTTTGCTGAAAATGTCTTTGCAAGATGAGATATTAACTGGTGAAAGAAACAGTGAATTACACTGAGAACATTTAAAACGTCGTAGGTATGGTGACAACCAAACTACTACTCACTAGCGTAGGGAGGGAGGGGGGAGTTTGCTTTCGGCACAAAAATTTAATTAATTTGGCGGGAAAATGGTACTGATTGGCTCCCTCTCCCCCTCCACTATAATCGAGATCTCGCTACGCCCCTGCTACTGGTAATACTAAAGTCTAAGTTTTGGTCACCTAGACTTTGATTAGTGAGAGTAGAACTTATAATATTTGATCAACAAAATAGAATGACATTTACCGGTCCAAAACTGGCAATATTGACCATCGTTGAATGCCCCACATTTACATCGAAAACCTGATTCACCAAATCCTGGTTCACAAGTCGCTCCATTCTTACATGTAACGTTGCTGCACGGGTCATTAGTGACAGGTTGAGTCTAAAGATTATAAATTAGTTGCATTTGTTATTTTTCTTGTTATTTTTCTATTTATCAGCGGCAAAGCACTGTAGTCAGGTAAACATTGTGAATGGAAACTTTTTGTTTTGGGTATAAAATTGTTTGTAGTTGTTCGTTTGTTTGTTTGTTTGTTCGTTCGTTTTTTTTTTTTTTTTTTTTTTTTTTTTTTTAAATGGAAAGGAAACGTTTCATGTCTTTCATAAGCTGCAATAATCTAAATGTCAAAATATGATTCACTGTAAATTTCCGTTGCTGTTACGCATGCTCTAATGATATGACCAATCAGATAAACTTCTTACCTGGAAAGGAGAATAATGAATAAACCCTGACCTCGGCACTTTACACGAAGGCTTGGAATCAAAAGTCTTTTGACTGAGCTCACAAAGATGTTTGGGTTGCCCTGAGGTGCCAAAGTTGACTGATTGACAGTTCGGTTCTTCAAGACATGCTGACACACATGCAAAGGCGTCGAATACTTGAAGAGTCTTGAATACCAAACTGATTGCGTAGCCTTTTAATAAGAAATAAGGAATAAACGACAATAAACGGGGTATCGGGGATTGGGAAGAGAAGAGAAGAGGAGAGGAGGATTGCGAAGAAAAGAGGAGAGGAGAGGAGAGAAGAGGAAAGCGAGGCGAGGCTAGGCCTTCGTAAAAATATCATAATGACAGAAGCATCAAGAGTAATTATCTTTCGACTTAAAAATCCACGACGAAATTTTGATTGGTTGATTCGAGTTCGATTTCTCTGCAACGGCAAACAATAGTTTTATTATGCGCAAACATTTTGACTCGAATCTTTTGGCCATAGGAAGCTGAGACTAGCAAAAACACACAAGAAATAATTAGTAATCCACCAAATGAAAATGGTTATTGACTTACTGCGGCTTTTCAGTCATAAAAGAGAATATGGTTTGATTGAACCGAAGTGCGAATATTGAAATAATAATGAAAACAATTATCGATACTGGAGTATTATGCTTCAAAATAAACCGGTATTTTTGAGGAAACGTTTCTGTCGTGTAAATATCACGAGTTTCGGCTATTATCTTACTTTAACTTGGGGTAACTTTTCTTACGTTAACTTGGAGTGACTTGTTTCCTTATTCATGCATTTATTTAAAAAAGAAAGTCAAATAACGGCTCTAGACTGAAAGAGTTGTCCATCTGTCTTACAATCCTTTAATGCAAAGAGCCAATGGAAGCGCTATAGAATTACGAAGCCCATGTAGTTTGGGGAAAAACATATATATTTTTAATTCTATAAAGTGTTGGCTTTTGTATAACGGCTTGGTACACTCAATCAGAACATCGCCAGGCTTCAGCCAACTAGGTAAAAGCCCAAGGTCCAATTGGAATTTAGAAGTTGATTTTTGAGGAAAAAAGAACAAAGCTGTAAAAATAATAATAATTAATTTGCAACTGGATTGTCCGGTATAGAACGTATTTCAAACGGGCCACATGATTTAAAGACTATGTGGCAAACCGGTTGACTTATTCATATATCAATGAAAAAACAATGGCAGAAATCGAAACGACAAATACATACAAATAAAACAAACCTTGAATGCTTGAAAATATTCCAGCTCTGAAATCAAGCCTTCGATGTGGATTTTCAAGAACTTCTTCACTTTTGCAGCAACAGAATCCACGAAAACTCACGGCAAACAGAACATATATGTAAAAACTTCTTCGCATTTTTTCCGCTTCCAATGACTGTAGTCGTTTGTAATAGGCTTAGCAAGCTGCTCGACGTTTGTAACTCAAAGTAGAACTCCAGATCTTCCAAGAGAGAGGGGTAATTCAACATACGTCTTTCCGCCTTAGAAGTTTAATAGCAGCTTTAGAATGATGAATTTCGATTCATTAAGTTTCAAAGTCCTTCAACTAAGCGATGCGTTTTAATAGATACGACTCTCCAGAACTAGTCCTCAAACATGCACTTCGCACTAAATTTAAGTATTTTATATGTTAGTTCCTTGTGTCTACTTCGACAGGCTAGCAGCCGTAATTGTATTGACAAAAGTCTGACCAGTATGAGATTGCCGTACCACGAAAGAGAGAGAAAGAGCTATGAAAAATGATGACAAATTGACAAGGCGGAGGGCGGAAAAGACTTGAGTAGATTTCACAAATACCAGTTTCTTTGTTAATAGTTCAAGAACAATTTTTGTTTATCATTGGTCGTCCAGGACGGCGGCGTTAATTAAAAAGAAAGCACATCGGTAAGTGATTAATGATTTTATTAATTACAATTTTAATTTTTCAAGGTGAGATTGTCCTTCGTTGTTTAATTCGATGAAGTTCTAGTTATATTAAACTAATATTTTACGGCACATGTTTTCAACATAATACATTTTCGGACTTGGTCTAGTGTTGTATGTGAGTAGAGTAGAGTTACTTTTTGGTTAATTTTTTCCTATAAATAAATTGGAAGGTGCTTCGTTTCCACGTAGTCCTTGCAGTACTCAGAGGTCCTGTAGATCTTTCAGTTTATTTTAAGGTTATATTATTGAGTTTTTCATGTTTATGTATAACATACAAGGTAAATATTTCTAATTAGTACACAGGTAGCCCAGTCATGGGAAATGCTAATCAAAATACAATGTCGACTCCTGAGTTCTGAGGGCTGTCGGTAATTCACTCTGAAGGTTATCTCAGCTGGAATAGTTTACTTGATTAAGATGTATCCAAACGCCACTACGTCTTTATCTCCCTTACTACAACTTATTCTACAGCGATTCCCACATGTCAAACCGCTCCACGGAAGTCCAAAACCGATCGCACTATCCGGTGAATTGCAGTTGTTTTCATTGTTCGATCTAATGCCAATTCTTACTGCAAGTACGTTATTAAAACCTTCAATATTACAATATGGCTGTAAGGAGGATCCACCAATAAGAGACAGCCATTTGTTTCGACCAATAGTGAAAGTGCGTCGACTTCCATCAGCAATGACGTCATACAAGGAAGAAGCTGGGTAAGGAATGAGAGCCCAGTTCAAGTTGTTCCCGACTTTTACACCAACACACAAGCTCTGGAAAGGCATAGCCCAGTAGCTGGACATCTTGGTTTCGTGATTGTCGAAACCGGTTTTACCTGCTGATAAATTATACGCCTTCTTGTCTGACCACAAGGCTGACGAGAAAATGAATGTGTTCTGCAGGAAAGACAGACAATAGAAATGCTCTTCAGTTATTTTTTCCCTCCCAATATAAAAAGTAATATGATAAATCTATAGTTTACCTTTGAACCGTCAGTTTTCATGGCCAGCGTCCATCCCCTGCTTCCGCACAGATCGCTTGACAAATGACAATAGATATCTGTTTGTTTGTTGTCGATCATGTACGTGTAGGTCTTGTCCGTACGATAGCTGCATCGATCGATAAAAATGATACAATGTTTGAATTATAAGCGTTTATTGCTATTCAAAAATATAGTCCTTTCTCAATTAAGAAATACCGCTGAGGTTACTGACTGCAGACTCGTACATACAGGTGCGGCCTCGTTTAAAAGCAAATAATTCACTAATTTCCATTGTTTTGAAATCCCACAGACTAGCTTTAACTAGGTTAAGATCAGGTCAAACGTCGAACTTCACATGAGCCGAACATATTAACATCAAAGAAAACCGCCTTGTTATCCATTGTTTCAATTTGGTTCCGCTCATTTGAAGTTCGACGTTTGACCTGAGCCTTAGCTTAATCTGTTGAAATAAGCTGAGTCTGTTGTCATCAAAAACAGTGGTATGCATCACTGAATAAGAATAGGAACAGTTATATAATAACAAACTAAACTTCATTACCTTGTTTTGCTGAAAATGTCTTTGCAAGATAAGATATTAACTGGTGAAAGAAACAGTGAAATACAAAAAAAATTTATAACTTTGTAGCCTTGGTTACAGCCAAACTCCTTTTGCTAATGTAAGACAAAAAAGTCTTGGTCACCTAAGCAGAATCAAACCTTATTGACAATGGGACCGTTTGATGAGTGAGGGGAGAAGTTATAATCGGATAACAAAAATGGAAAAACATTTACCGGTCCATAACTGGCAGTATTGACCTGTGTTGAATGTTCCACATTTACATCGGAAGCCTGGTTCAACACAAGCTGGTTCACAAGTCGCTCCATTCTTACACGATACGTGTTTGCACGGGTCATCAGGAATGACAGGTTGAGTCTACAGAAACAATAATTGCAATATAAGTCCATCAGTTCTAAATAAATATAAATCGTGAGATATATATCCTTTTTTAACACAATCTATATCACACGTTCATTTGTGTCCCTTAACAGGAAATGAAATTTCATTAGTGTCAAAGACTTCTTATTTATCGCCAAAAGCATTGTCTAACAATTCAGAGATCATCATTTTGAATGAAAACGTACTTGTTAACGTTTGGCATTAATGGCCTCCAATAATCTTCGTTTAGTCATATTGTGACGCGATTCAAAGGTTCAAAAACGTCCTCAAATTTACAAAATGCTAAACCTTAAAGTCAGATTTTGAAATTCTTTTTATATTCTTCGTATATAAAAGTATACTCACGAAATCTCTTATATGTTATGAGTAAGAAAATTGGCTCTAAAATGCTCTTGCATTCTTGAAAAACGTGCTGGAATGCACGCATGCGCATTTGTCTTCATAGCAACAAATGGAACAAGGAAATGATCAATCAGGTACGTTTCTTACCTGGAAAGGAGAATAATGAATAAACTCTGACCTCGGCACTTTACAGGAAGGCCTGGAATCAAAGTTCTTTTGACTGAGCTCGCAGAGGTGCTTGGGATGTCCTGAGGTACCAAAGTTGACTGATTGGCATCTGGGTTCCCTGAGACATGCTAACACACATGCAAATGCGTCGAATACTTGAAGAGTCTTGAATACCAAACTTATTGCATAGCCTTTTACGTTAGAATTTAAAAATAATCTTTGGTTAAAATTGCCTGAGAAACCCATTGCGCAGTGAAGAACAACGATGGAATGGGATGGATGGATGGGGATGGGGAGGGACTGAAGAGAAGAGAAGAAAGAGAAGAGAAGAGAAGAGAAGAGAAGAGAAGAGAAGAGAAGAGAACTGGCCAAAAAATACATTAATAATCCACCGAATAAAATTAATGTATAACCTTCAAAATAAAGTTCTTTTAAGAAAATTAAATTTACTGTCTTGTCAATTTCGCGGTTTCGAATATTTTCTTACGTTAGCTTGGGCGGGTAAATTGTTTCCTCGTTCGTTTGTTTGATTGAAAATGATTAGTCCTATAAAAGACTATTAAAGAAAGTTGAGCATTAGTTCTCTTAGGTCACCCTTCAATACAAATGGCCAATGCAGTTATCATGTTTTTAAATAGCGCCAGAATTAAGAAGTCCGTAGTTTTGAAAAAAAAAAATTTTTTTAATCTATAAAGTTTTACTTGTTGCACCACAGTTTTAGACGATCATAACACCGCCACTCCGGTCAGCTAGATGAAAGCCTAAGATCGAATTGGAATTAAGAAGTTGATCTTTAAGGCGAGCAAGGCTTTCAAACCTTTGCAACTAGATGGCGGATAGAACGTATTTCAAACGGCCCAAATGTAAGACTCTGTGGCAACCAGTTGACTTATTCATATATCAATGAAAAGAACGCAATGGCACAAAACGACAAATAAATACAAATAAAACAAACCTTGAATGCTTGAAAATATTCCAGCTCTGAAATCAAGCCTTCGATGTGGATTTTCAAGAACTTCCTTGCTTATACAGCCACAAAATCCACGAAAACTCACGGCAAACAGAACATAGATGTAAAAACTTCTTCGCATTTTCCCCTGAATGACTTTTGTCGTTCCTAATAGAGTTCTCGCGAGTTGCTATATGTTTACTTTAAAAAGCAACTCTCCAGCCGCTCTTCTAGCCAGATCTTTCAACAAGGAAAGGTGATTCAAGATATATCTTTTCGCCCAACTTACGTAGCAGCTTTGGAAAGACAAACTTCGATGTTATAAAGTTCCAAAATCCTTAAACTTAGCGGGGCGTTTTGATACTCGAACACTTCCTCATGCGTAGTTTAACAGGCTATCAACAGTAACCATATTGACAAGTTTGGCGAGTATGAGATTGCTATACCACTAAAGATAAAGAAAGAGATATAACAAATGGTAAGAAATTGACAAGGCAGAGGGCAGAAAAGCCTTAAGTAGGTTTAACCCAATACCAGTTGTTTGTTAATGGATAATGAATTTCTATCGTTTATTATTGGTCGTCATGGAAGGGGTTAAATAAAAAAATTTAAATTGCTATAAGTGATTAATTGTTTTAGTTTTCGTATTATTGCAAATTTTTAAATTCAAAAGATTGATTCTCGCTTTTTCGAGTTCTTTTCTTTTTTGTTTGCTTTTTTTATCCTTTACAAAAAAAATTCCATCAGAAAACAACAAGGACAACAAATACAACTTTTTAAATTAGTTTGAATTGAATTTTGATAACCATAATTTTTGACTTGGGCGGAATAAGCCGAAAAAGGTATTTGGAATGAGATGAGTATTTAGTCTGTGCATATGACGGGTTGGCTTGTATTTGTCAAAGTCAAACACGCTCGTTCCGAAAACGCGTCAGATACTAAGATGAGTTTACCTGGGCGTAATTTCAACGATTACAATGGCCGCCATTTTAAAAACGTGCAAAGAAGATGCCAGAGGGGAGTATAGCTAGATGATGTTGGATATCGGAATTGTTTTTCGCGACATAAACATTTCATTGGCTCATTGATGGTGAAGATATCGATTCTTATTTGTGTAAAAAGACAAACAAAAACAAACAAAAACAAACACAGAAATTATTATTTGATAAGTGGGAAAGGCAATCGTCAAGTATTTTGGTCGGCCATGCTCATAAGAGAAATTGGCATTGAGTGACAGGACAGGTCTTGGAAGACAATTTTCTTTGTCGTACATCCTATATTATCTTATATTTACATACACACACTGGTGTTCTTTAGGTGACTCTTCATTTGATGAAGATGTACCCGAAGGCCTGTATTGATTTAACTCCGTTATTGCAGCTATGATTACAGTAATTTCCGCATGTTATATTGCTCCATGAGAAACCAAAACCAATATTACTATCTGGTGAAAGGCATTCATTTTGGTCATTCGTGACGATGCCAATCCTCGCGTGAGCCTGTACAGCAGTGAATACACCGATATTAAAGCCTTCGGTCTCACAATACTGCTGTAATGAGGATCCTCTAATAAGAGACCGCCATTTGTTTCGACCAATAGTGAAGGTGCTTCGTCTTCCATCAGCAATGGCGTCGTACAAGGAAGAAGACAGATAAGGAATAGGAGCCCAGTTCAAGTTATTCCCGACTTTCATACCAACACACAAGCTCTGGAAAGGCATAGCCCAGTAGCTGGGCATCTTGGTCTCGTGATTGTCAAAACCGGTTTTACCTGCNACTTTCATACCAACACACAAGCTCTGGAAAGGCATAGCCCAGTAGCTGGGCATCTTGGTCTCGTGATTGTCAAAACCGGTTTTACCTGCTGATAGATTATACGCTGTCTTGTCAGACCACAAGGGTGACGAGAAAGCGAATGTGTTCTGGGGAAAGASGGGGAATATTATCAGTTGAGACAAAAGAAACGAATGGTAAACGATACATTTGTATATTTTACCTGGGAGCCGTCAGTCTTCATGGCCAGCGTCCACCCCCTACTTCCACACAGATCGCTTGACAAATGACAATAGATATCTGTTTGTTTGTTGTCGATCGTGTACGTGTAGGCCATGTCCTCACGATAGCTGCAACAGAAGGTTTTTCAGGGGTATTATTTTAAGTAATGTATTAGTCGCCCCTTATTTTTCAAGTGGCGTTTGGCAACTTTGTTACCCGAGCAAAGAAACAAAAAAACAAAAAGAAAAAAAACGGATATGACGTCGTAAAATGAAAAGTACACCGTCAGTTGTAGTCATATATAGTTATTTTTATATAATTGACGTATTAAGCATCATCTTGGAGTCTATGTGATAAACGTGATTACTGTACCTGGTTTTGCTAAAAATATCTTGACATGATGAAACGTCAACTACAGAGGAGCAAAAAGGTACTATGAGGTTATATTGCTAATTTTTTTATTTTAACAATTTGATCAGTCACTCTATCAAGCACTATTTAGCAACTTTATTGAATTTACACCTCATTTCATTTTTTCGATTCCACTTTCTGATTGGCTAATATTTTTGTTAGATCAGCTGTTATACCATAATCAGGTGTGATTGGTTAATGCACCTGCTCAATACATTGTCATTCTTATTAATCTTATTAAAATTTTCAAAACGTGACAAGAGTAAATAGAGCAAACTTAGAAGATTGAATCTGTCTAGGTAATGATACCGGTTTCTGATTGGCTGATATTTTTGTCAAATCAGCCGTTATGCGATTTCAGGTGTGATTGGTTAAGGGATCAGCTGAATACTGACAAATTCATTCTTATTATTTTGGTTAAAAATTTCAAAACGCAACAAGAGTAAATAAAACAAACCAACTTACAGCGGGATTAAATGTGTCTAAGAAATGGAATATGGTTAAAACTAGAATAACATTTACCTTTCCATAACTGGCAATATTGACCTTTGTTGAATGCCCCACATTTACATCGAAAGCCTGGATCGTCGCACAGTGGTTCGCAAGTCGCTCCATTCTTACGTGGCACTTTGTCGCACGGGTCATTAGTGACAGGTTGAGTCTAAAGATTGTAAATTAATTGCATTTATTATTTTTTTTGTCAAATAATTCGTGCTGCACGGCTCGTCCTGTAAAAAAAAGAAGGATAAAGCGAGAGAAAAAATTGCAACAGTCTTTGATTAAAACAAAAAGATTTTTACTGAGTTTCCGGTGTATGATTTTTAATGTTACCTTAGCAGGGAAATAATGAATAAACCCTGGTCTGGGCTCTTTATAGGCTGGACTGCATTCCAGTTTTTTGTGACTGAGCTCGCAAAGGTGTTTGGGATGTCCTGAGGTACCAAAGTTGACTGATTGACATCTGGGTTCCCTGAGACATGCTGACACACATGCAAAAGCGTCGAATACTTGAAGAGTCTTAAATACCAAACTTATTGCATAATCTAGGATTAGAAAGAAAATTGTGATAATTAAGAAAGTAAATGAGTTGCAGTACATATAACCGGCACTCATTCGGACATGAGCTAGCATCTTCATTTCAGTCCATATGTTATTCCCTAGAGCATTATTTCTCTGTTTAACGGCTGCACATGAGAAGATACACGAGAACAACTCAAACAAAGAATCTTATTCTCAAGGAAATGACGCGTGGTTGTTCAAAGTGGGACAACACTTCAGTTCTACGCCTAACCTAGAGAGATCTACTGCATGTACAAAGTGTTGCATATGTCTCATTATTAAAGTGGAAATTCTGTCGACCATTCATTCACAGTATTAAACTGATATTCAGTCTTCGGCGCCGTTATTCACCCATACACTCCTTGACTAAAGCATTACGTTAATTAAAAATCGAATTAAAGAATTTCTCATTTTCTCAGGGATAATGATTAGGCAGCTTTAACAAATATCAGAAATCCCATTATTTTTGTGTAAATATATATTCCAACCCGGCCGTAGCATTGTGGTTTGATCCTTCCGGCAAAGGACTATTTAACTAGTGACCACAATCTTATCACCGATTCACAAAACCGCTCATCGCAAGGAGGTTATTAAACTACCATAAGTCCATTAAAAAAGGACGATTATGATAAATATCATGTTTTTAAGCCAATAATTGATTCCACCATTTGTTTGGTAATGGCTAAATGGCTTCCTGAGACATCAATGTAAAATGATTATGACATAAATTAACCTTAATTAATTGTAAATTGCTTCTTTATCACAATTGCTTTTTTTTCACAAGTTCAGAATATTTTTTAAATTGTAGCTTTGAGATAAATATATATACACACTTGAGTGTAAAAAGTAGTATACATTTATACAGATACCTAATGAGATGCAAGATATCAAATGAGATGCAGAACTTAAGACAAGCTTAAATACGATTGCTTAGCCACTACATTTTGTGGAAAATACTTTTTTTAACTTGACTTTGCACAAAACTTGATGTCTATGATATATAATAGAAGATAAATAAGACCAAATAAGTTTTTTTTACGCTTTTTTTTTTTTGCATCTCATTTGATATCCTGCATCTCATTAGATATATGTATAAATGTATACTATACACTTTCTACTATCTAGTATATATATATATATATATATATATTACATATCAAGGGTTCCAGAGGTAAATATATGTATAGACTGTAAATCTGAATTAACAAAGAGAAAGTTTCTTATTGAGGGTTTTTTAGAATATTTCAAAGTCGAGTCCCAAAACAAATCCCTGAAGGAAACCACAGTTGCTTCACCCCAACGATTTGAATAAAATCAGAAAAAATAAATGAATTTATTGCGCCAAAGCATACCTTGAATACTAGAAAAGAGTCCATTTCTCTTCTCAGCTCCTCTGTGTGGATTTGGGAACGATAGTTCCTCACTATTGCAACCATAAAAACCATAGAAGATCAGAAGGAGAATACAGAAGTAACAAACTGTAGCCATGTTTAATTTCCCTCAGAGTTCAGTCGGTCTTCCTCGGTGCTTTACGGCAAGTGGTTTAATTTCTTCCTTTCATGCAATTAAGCCTTCAAGACAATAAGCCAAGAACGGAAAAAGACTTCAAACTTGATTTCCTTTCTTGTGATAAATTATGTGACTTTCAAGTTGTTGTAGAATATAAGTAAAATCTGTTTCGAAGATGCGTTTAATGATGCGTCTTTAGAATTGTCACATAGGCTCTTTGCGCGCTAATGAGTAGGTAAATGAATCTGTGTGTTTTACGTCCTCGACAAGTCACATGATAGATCTCAATATAAAAGCAAATAAGTATATAAAAAGCCTTCATATCAGTAGAATTTTCTTTCATTTATCGAGGCGTTTCATAAATCATGTATTTATCTTTTCCACTTTGTCCTTTGCTTTCTCCAAAAAGGTCTCAAAAACTCTGAAAAAACTGCCCAGACACATCAAAGTTGCCAAAAGAAATTATTAGTGTCACTTGCCAATGCACAAAAGAAGCCGTCATATAAAACACGCGTGGGTAAATGTTGGGAAACTCTGAGCTGGGTAAGAACTGGAGATGGAGGAGACAAGCACGCGCGTTTTCTTTCCCGCCAAAACCACAGGAACTCCATCTGAGGATCGGTTAGAATTCTGAGTTAGTTGCAAAGAGCTTTAATGTTTTCCCGAGGGTGAAAAAAGAATTGATAATTGTGATCCATACATTCTTTCGTGACAAATCCCATGCTTATATATCACGATTAGGGACTGGGCCAAATGGTTACAGTCGTCCAAAAGATAGCCTGCGTAGCGGCGGTTTGGCGGGAGAGGAGGCAAGAAAGCACTTGGTCTAGTCATTGTCATTTAACTTTTTTATCATCATAATCATATTATTATTGTTATCATCATCATCATCATCATCATCATTATTATTATTACTATTATTATTATTAGTTCTGCTTTCGTTTAGGTCGTAGCATGCTTGTCAAAGTTTGATTTAACAAACTAAATAGTAAGAAGTAAAAATATATAAACTGATATTACGTCCTCTTTAGTAAACTATTTATTTAAATTAACGTCATAACAGCGCTGTATATAACGAGTCAGCAGTCGCGGGTAAAATGGCGGGTTCGCCTGATTCCTATGAAAAATTCCTATGGTTTCGGGAAAAAATTCTCAAAATCAGCTACTAAAGTGCAGAATTGTTAAACTCATTTCTTGAAATTTAGGAAACAATATATTATATTTTAATGTATTAACCAATGTACGATTATTATAATACAGGGAGCCCATTCACATGATAATGAAACGAATAATGAAATAATAATGATAATCGAAGCGATTCTTGAGTAGGTTAGCCCGAACGCAATAGGAATGATTAATTCACTTGATTAAGATGTATCCAAACGCCACTACGTCTTTATCTCCATTACTACAACTTGATGTGCAGCGATTCCCACACGTCAAACCACTAAAACGAATACCAAAACCAATACCACTATCTATGGTGTCACAATCATTTTGCTCATTTCCAACGAGGCCCATGCGCGCAGACACCCAACCTCCACTATCGATTCCCACATTGAAACCTTCGGCATTACAGTATAGCTGTAACGAGGACCCATCAATCAGGGACATCCATTTTCCTCGACCGATGGTGAAAGCGTAATTCCCAACAATGGCGTCGTACAAGGAAGAAGCTGGATAAGGAATGACAGCCCATTTCAAGTTGTTCCCGACTTTCATACCAACACACAAGCTCTGGAAAGGCATAGCCCAGTAGCTGGGCATCTTGGTCTCGTGATTGTCAAAACCGGT